TGGGCAGTGCCTCCGCTGCCCGCTTGCCAAGGGCTGTCCCTGCCTCCCACCCCGGCAGGGGCCGTGCGGGCCGTGGACATCCCACCGGGAGGCTCTTAGCGGGTGGCGGATCCTCGCACCGCACCGGCCGTGGTAAGGGCGGGGAGCTGCTTAATCTGCCGGAGACTCCGCTCGCCCTGCAGCCCACTTTGAGGAGAGGGTGGGTGCCCGGTGCCTCCTTCCCCCCGTTGCTGTTTTTTAGAGAAGGTGTCTCCCCTCCGTGTTGGTAGAAGCCGCTGAACTTTCTGTGCTGGTTTGACCCTGCTGGTGACTGGAGTTTGTGTGGAGACAATGTTGTTGCAGGTTTGACACATACTAAAACAAACCTCAAACAGCTTCGTGTTGTAAACATAGGTTTCCCTAAAGTACTTTATATGATGCCTTGGGGTTTTGCAGCTGAATTAGCTGAAGGGGGATGAGCTCAAACTAATCTGTGTTAAATTAGTGGCCCCTAGAACACTGGGGACGTTATGCTAATAGTCTCATAAGGATCCTGCTGCTGGTTTTGTCAATGACTTGAAGAAAGTTTGCAGCTAAAAACTGTTTAAGTGCACAAGCGACTCAGAGCGCTGAGTGGAAAATAAAGAGATGAGGATCTGGTACAGTGGTCTGGCTCGTTTGGCACTCTGCTTTTGGCAAGGCCACACATATATTACCAGAGAAAGCCAACTGTTGAGGAATAGTCAGAGAAACAAGGGAGGCAGGAGTGAGGTCTGTCCTAGAAAGCAGTAATTTTTGCCTGGGTTCATGAATAGGTTGAACACAGACAGCGGGGCTGGAGGCAGGCAGGAGAAGGTGGCCTCCTCCCACGGCATCTGTGGAGGAGGAGGGGGAGGGGGTGCCTGAGCTCAGTTCCCACACTGGTGCAAACACGTGAGCACTGCTACAGCCAGGTTTGGTGGCTGCTTGTGTTGTGAGGCTGATGCAAAGCTGGGCAGAGTTCAGAGATGATATATGATGGTGGGATTAAAGGTGAAAAAAAGCTGCCATGAGGTGATGAGAGCTGCTTCATGCAACGACAAGATTTGGTCAGTCTGTGTGTACTTGTGGGGACAGAAGTTGGTCTGTGGGAATTCAGTATGGCTGGTGGTGGTATAGAAGTGAGTGCATGGAAACCAAAGCATATATTTGTTAGCAACAGAGAATCAAGCATGGGAACAAACTTCTCAAAGTCAGTGCCGACTTTGTGTTTGCTGGCAACTTTTACAACAAGCCTCAATACTTTTTTTTTAATGAAAGCAATGTCAGGTATTGCAGCTCAGCTAACAGCTTGGGAAGTTTTGTGGTCTCTCTGCTTGGGAATTTGCAAGGTGACCATAATGTCTTTCAGGGTGTTTGCTGGAAGATGAGTAAGTAAAACTGAGATGAAGACTGGGAAATAAATTTTAAAGTTTTACTTGTTAATTTCTAGGAACATCTGGTTTCCAATTTCCTTTGCTGCACTTGCAGGAGTCTGTTTACACTGGCAGTGACAGTTATTTGATTTTTCTGAATGAGCCTGAACAGGGAAATTTCCTCAGATGTATCATTGCTGTTAGTTTTGTGGCAGTGTCCAGCCTTTTGTCTTGCTGACAGTGTCACTTAGCTGTCAGATTCGTCTGTAGCAAGCTAAAAGGAAAAAAAAAAGAAAAGAAAGAATCAAGGGATGCTTTAGGGTTAGATCTTACCACGATATGGAGGCTTTGGAGCATGCCGCTCTGCCAGCTTTTATTGTTATCTCGATCTGCCAAAATATGCACTGGCTTGCTTTTGTTTTTTGTTCAAAGTCTCCCTTGTCCCAGCTCTGGTGGGAGTGGAGGGGATAATGTGTGCAGCGATTTCCCCCTCCTGGTGGCCTCTCTTGCTGAGCTTTGCTCACCTGAAGGCAGGCACCAGACCTGGATGGCTCTTGTCCACCCCGTTTGTGAGGATTGCTCTGGGAGCTGGGCCTTCTCCTGCAAGAGACACTGCTTTAGTCTGTGCTCTTTGAGACAGAGCTATTTCTGCTCCTATTCTGTATCCTCAGCTTATCTTTAGAGCTGCTCTCATCTGGGGGAGAGAGTTGTTCTCAGTAATAAATTGGTAAGTGAAAAAAGTTAAAGAGACTAGAGAGAAAATGAGATTGTTTCTCAGGGGTGTGTGTGGTTGCGTTAGAAATGACTGAGCACTGTTTTACAAGAAAATCAAGCAGTATAATCTAACCCAGATTATTTTTATCAAGGAGAAAGGTGAACAGGAGGAAAAAAAAAAAAAAATCAGTGCTGCATACTTGCACATGGTGCACAACTTCCCAGGACAGGAATGTACCCCGAGGAATTAATAACTAGCAGGCAATTATGAAAGTTCATACCTTTCTCTTCCATCGTCTCTCGCCCACCCTTCAAGGTAGCTCCAGCCAGCCAGTTTTCTGCTTGTTGGCGTGTTTCTGGATTTCAATGTGGGCCCTTATCGTGAGACTCTCCTCTATCACTGCTTGCAGGAAAATGTCAACATTTGCAGAACTAGATCAGAGCCCTTTTTAGATAACGATTAATGGAGAAGACTACTCTTAAAAAAATTACTTTGCTCATAACAAATTAGCGTAACGGATTAATCCCTGTTCATAATCCCTGGCTCGCTTTCCAGGAGGATGCCTGTGTTGTTATGGAGCAGGGAGGAATTTTGCCTGAGCGCTCTGAGCGTGCTCCTCACTGATATAATTGCTTCCCTTCTGTTCCTTCCTAGCAGTCCTGTGGAGACTGTGCAGTTAGTTACTTGTGCTCTCGACAACCCGAAAGGATAGGATTTCCCTTAGGAGGGATCAGATGATTATCTTATAAATAGTAAATGCCTGTTCAGGCCTACTTTTGAGTGTGTGTTGTTTGGTTGCTGTCTTGCTCTCTGCCTTTGCAACAAGTACAACCGCATCTTGCACCTCAGGGCCCAGAACCAAATCCAAGGAAATTGGGCATAATTTCTGTCAGAGATGATTAATTTCTGTGAGGATGGAAACTGCCCTGGTGTGAGGTGCTTCAGCTTTGCAGCCAGAGCTTTAGGCGTTGTGATTGATTTGAAAGGCTCCGGTGGCAGCAATGCACTGTGCTGCTGTGTATGCTGGGGTGGTGCCTGGTTCCTTGCCTGCACAGGAAAATCAGCTCTTTTAACTGGGAACATGAACTAAAATGATGCTGAAACACATTTAGTGGTTGAATCCAGTTTGAGATGAGCCATTTTCCTGCCAGAGAGAATGTGCTGGTACCGGGGAGCTTTTCTCTCTATGCTTGACCTCTTGGAGTCCTTTTTTGGGCTGCACACACACATATCCCATACCTGCCACCTATTTCCCTCTGGTTTTGCTTCATTTATCTCCAGTCTTGGTTATTCTTACAGCTGCTGAGAGGGTTTGATGCATGTGGACGTTTAGGGTCTATTGAGACTCCTTCCGACACAGCTCCCCGACAGCTCACCCGCGGGGCTTGTGCTCAGCCTTGCTCACGCTGAGGTTTTGGCGTGGAGCCTCCGGTCACTCTGCTGTACCTGGGTTTGCGTCTGAGCTGGAGTTGCTCCTTACCCTTTTCTGGGGTGCTTTGCTAGGTATGGGGATCAAATTGCGGCAATAGTTTTGCATGGGATTTGTTTTGCGGCATCTCTCTGCAGACCCGAGTGATCTGTGTATGGTAGATTCAAAAGCAGCATCTTGTCTTTCCTGAGGGAGGTAGCATTAACAGGATATAGCAACAACAAAACTAAACAGATGGTTCCTGCTCTTAGCAGTCGTGACTTTGTTGTTACTTATTATTTTGACTCTGTTGCTCTTTCTCAGTCAAGAGATGCCCTCAAACTTCTTATTTAGGAGGGGGAAGCCTGCCCAGGGCCTATCCCGAGGGAGGAGAGTTACATGTCTGTATATTCTGTTTCAACACGTATCAAGTTACTGGCCTCAGAGGCTTCCTTTTACGTTGTGTGAGTTTGTAGGTGCCTTATTCCCTTCAGTCTCTGATTTAGAGCAATACCAATCTTCCTTCCCTTGTGGATCATTGCTTATCTTCTAGGTGGAGTGTTTGCTCAACAGCATGTTTGATACAGCTGATCTCATGCACTATAAACCCCGTGAAGGTCAGCTGTCCTGGACATGCACAATAGTTTTGCTTTTGCCAATATTTATTTTCCTGGGGGAAAGAAATATTGCACTGTCTCTCGCGAGGGTGTGGATCTGATCGCGCTGCGGAGGACAGGCAGGGCATTCACAGGAGGGATGGCAACGAGAACTGAGATTTTTACCTAAGCCTTGGTAATGGCGTTAGCTAGGAATAAAGTGGATGGAGCTGTTCTGATGTCAAAGTCCAGGCTATATGTTGGGCACCTTTGTCTGAGGCCTAGCAAGAAGCCAAATCTGGTGACTTTTGCTGAGGCTGCTAACGGCTGTCAGCTCCACCCCTCTTTGGAGGAGTCTGTCCTGGCAGCAGAGACATAGGTAGACACAGCTCACAACTTATCTGCTTGGGGGCAAAGTCTTGTATCTGAACTTAAGCCCACATTTGCGACAGGGTGTTCTCTAGAGTTCAGCTTTCTTCCATTCCATGGCTCAGACAGCACTGACTGGAAAGAAGAATTGTTGTTCCTCTTCCAACCTGACCAGTTCTTGTGGAACTGTGGAATTGTTCTCTCTGGCAGAATGTGCTTGGACATGGTACTGCTTGTGAGTGACAGCTTTATGGTAAGGACCCTCAAAGCATTTCTACTTTGCAGTCGGTTCAATTGCTTAGACTCTGCCAGTCTTTCTGTGATGGTCTCTGTTGAAACTGAGGACTGTTCCAAGCAAGGGGTGCAGTTTGCATTGTTCCTTCTGGAAGCTTCAGAGGGTTTTGTTGTTTTGTTTTATTCTAGAAACTTGTTGAAGTAGCCAGCTTCTCTGAGTGGATGAGTGCCTTGTGGCAATCGAGCATAAATCTATTCAGTCGCCTCCCTTATTTCAGCTGTACTGTCTGGATTAACAATAAAATTTTTATTTAATCTTTCAAAGTAGTCGGCGGAAGTGCACTTTATTGCTGGAGCATGACTGACACGTAGCACTGGGTACCACCAGTGCACAGCGTGACAGAGCCAGGTGGAATTTAATGGGAATGAGAGGAGCCATTGTCCTGTTTAGTATCGTGTTTGTGGGGCACCTACACACTGTTTTGAGAACATCTGACCGAGGCTACTTGGGGAGAGCATGGCTGGCTGCCAGCCCAGAGCTCAGGTTGGTGCCCGTGCTTCCTGCAGCACAGCTTGCCTGCTGCTACCACCTGGCAGCATCGTCACCCGACGGGTTCCTCGTGGCCCGGTGTGTTTGGGTGTAGGTTTAGGGGGACATAAGTACCCCTGGAGTTGTTCCTTCTCTCCCCAGTCAGTATCGTTTGGGCTTGTACTTCTGCTTTTTGGCCAGACTGCACAGCCCTGTTCAGGGCTGCAGCTGCCCCAGTGCCAAAGGCACTTCTGCCTTCCTTCCCTAATGGTAGACTGAACTTCCTAAAGGCTAAAATGCTCGATCCTTGCTGAGAACTTTGGAGCAAGCCCATGGCATCTGGGTAAAAACCAAAAAGCCTGTGCTGCCCTGAAGGTCAGACTTGGGTAAGTGGAAGTGAGTCTCTTCAGGCACAAGGCTTGGGGGAGCTGAAGTCAGATGTGAAATGGAGCAGTCTGGGGGGGCAGAAAGCTGTGTTTGGGTGGGGGAAGTACAGCAGTAATGTATTTGCTGAGGTTGGTGGGGAGGTGCACAGTGAAGTGGGATTTGGTGAGCTTCTCTGGAAGTGTCAGAGTAGGGTTTTTTTTTTAAGATGCTTTAGGTACCACTGAGGATGCTGTGTCTGCTGTATGTTACTAGTATGTTACTTAAATTTTCCCCTTGGTTGTGCTGAAGTACCCTTCATATTTTGGAGTCCTGCTGTCAACTTCCCCAGGGTAGGTCTGGGCCCTTATAAGCCCCTCATACCCTCTCCATTGCTCCTCCAGTGTGACGAGTAGGGTGACTCCAGGGTTTGTCACAGCCTGATACTTTTATGTCCTCTGTATGCGAGAGATTTCCTTTGATGCTATAGTTCAGTGCTGCTTTTTTTTTTTTTTTTTTAAGGCCCTTGTGACTTGGGGAACTGCTGCTGAGTTCTGGTGTGATGAATATCTGGCTGCCTCTGTTTGCCGTGCTGCTGGGCAGCCATTTCCCTACAGTCCCAATGGGTTAGACAGCCTAATGGCTGGGATCCCTGCAGTGGGATTAACTCTGTCTCCTCTTTCTGGGGTATCAGCTTTACTTCTGTGTATCTGAATCCTTTGTGCTTCTAGACAATGTGCCTGGTTCTTCTCTGTCCTCTGCAAACATGTCTCACCTGCACAAGACTGTTTATCACCTGCCTGCTATGGAGGGGAGATCTGCTTCTAGAAAGAGCCAGTGCTTAATGTTTCTCTGTCGGGGAGCTACTGGCTTGCATTTTTCATATCCACGCCCTTTACAAGCAGCTGATGAGAGACAACTACTCTAGGAAAAGCAAGCTCCCAGTGCCGTCTCTGTGCACCTTCTCTGGCAACCTGGTGATATCTGGAGGCCATGGGTATGTGTGCGAACCCAGCAAGTAGCTGTGGATATACAGAGAGGGAGTCTGGGAAAAAAAGAAATCTCATCTTGCTTGCAGCAAGGGAACTTCTCTGTCTGAACCTGGTTTCCACAAGGTGCCAGGGGCTCTCCGTGCTCCCTCCTTGTAGGAGCAAGGAATAACAGTGTGTCCAGGGAGGGGGACATAGCTGAGGTCAGCGGTGGCTCTTTTGTGGGAAATTTGTAGCCTAGCTGAGCTGACAGTCTGTTAACCAGGTGATCGTGAGTTTTGGTACTGATGCCAGCCCTAACACCGCTAGGCTCAGATTGGTAGTAGAGCTTGTGTGGTAAAGTGCCTTTGTAAAGTCATTTTATTTCTAGATTTAGGGAGTTTTATCATCCCTTGGGTAACCCAGTGCTGGGTATCCTTTCTATTCCTGGTCCATCTCCCACACTGCTACCCTGCTCAGGGCCTTGTTGTCTCTAACTCATGCAGATGAAAAGTATATTGAGCTCTGAATGTCTGTTATTGATGTACACTGGGCTTTCATGTGTGGATTTAGCTGCCTATGGGAAGAGAAAGTACCTTGATTTCAAAGGAGAAGTGCTTATTTAAGCTGTGAAGTCCCTATTTTCCAGGGGGAGTTGAACCTGCAGCGCATCATCCTAGTGGCAATTGTAACTAAAGGGCACATAACAGCAAGAATACACAATCTTTTCATTAGAAGTCTTGTGGTGAGGGAAGGGGCCATGGTGGGAGACTCCCAGCTACTGTACAGAAATCCCCAGGGGGATCTTAAGAGGTCTCAGACTTTCCCTGTAGCTTTGCCAGATTGCACCATCTTTAGGGCACTGTCAAATGCTCCTCTGCCTGGAGTGGAAACAGTACCTTAATCAAAGTTGTTGTTGGAGCAGCTTTGTTCTGATCCTTCTGCTCATGTTGGCCTGACAGCTGTGACAGCTTCATTTATGTGTCTCAGCCTGGCAGTTGTGATCCTTCAAGTGGGCGTCTGCAGTGCCTGGTGAGAATACCGAGTGGGAGCTTCGGGGAGGCAGCGGCTTTCAGAGGTGACCTGGGCAAATTTAATCTTTGCCTGAACCATTAAGCGATGATGTTGACAGTGTTCCTGTATAATGTCATGATACTGTGGGTTATCGGGGTGCCAAATTAGAAGAGCAGATGCTTTTTCTTTGTAGTGCAGCGAGTTGGTAGCGTGAAGATCTGTGTTGCAGAGGAGCTTCTCTGCTTGCTTAAGGTGAGGATGAGACTTGGTGCAGGAAGTGATAATTAATGGAGTTGCCTCAGGCTGACATTTGATGGACTTAGGAGCTGGGCCTGCAGGGAAGCCTCTGCAGTACTTTAGGTCAAATAAATGATCAGAAGAAATGAATGAATGGGCATGCTTTTGTCTGAAGAATTGGTAATGTCCTTTCTTG